ACATGTGCAGAAGAGTAGCATGAGTACACCACAATGGTACCTAGTAAGTGCCAAGCCTAACCTTGGTCGAGTAGTGACAAGGTCAGATTAGGGACCTACTGGTATATATAATAAATAAGGCAGAAAAATATTGCAGTGTAATAAGAAACTGGAATTTAACAAAGAGGAAACCACATCAAAATAACAGTATAGCAAACAGGGATAAAATAACAGGGGATCTCCTGAGATACATTGTCGTAGTCCCAAAAGTAAATATGCAAGGAGATTTCCCGAGGTACCGCCTCGTAGTCTCAAAAGTAAATGTGCAGGGGAGATCTCCCGAGGTACCGCCTCGTAGTCTCAAAAGTAAATGTGCAGGGGAGATCTCCCGAGGTACCGCCTCGTAGTCCCAAAAGTAAACATAGTAAAAACCAGATTTTACAACAATTAGCTCGTGTATGCACTCGTCACCTTGCGTACACGATGCTCATATAAATACAACAGTACAAAATCCTAAGTGAATTTTTCCCACACAAGGTTAGGCAAGCCACTTACCTCGAACCAAGCTAAATCAATCAGTAAGGATGCCTTTTCCATAATTTTCCGACTTCGAATGACCCAAATCTAGCCAAAAGCAATTACATACCATAAATATAACTATAAGAAACTAATCTAATTAATGAGATCAAGGCTTAAACAAGAATTTAGAAAATCACCCTAAAAGGTTGACCCGGGCCCACGCCTCAGAATCAGGTAAAAGTTACAAAATATGAACACTCATTCACTCACTAGTTCACTTGTACCAAATTATCCAAATCCGATATCAAAATCCCAATCAAAACTCAAATATTTGGTTGAAGAACTTTTTCCATTTTCCCATAATTTTCAACCCAAATCCGAAATTAAAGGATGGAATCAACTATAGATCAATGGAATATAACCATAAATAAGTCAAGAATTATTGCCCAATAGCTTACTCAGAAAATCCCCCAAACTTTCGTCCAAATCCGAGCTCTCTATCTCAAGTTATGTTAAAAATGGCTTAACCCTCGATTTTGAAATGTTATATTCTGCCCAGGTATCCCTTCTTCGCGAACGCGAAAGAACCCTCGCGTTCGCGAATCACAAACTTGCTTCAGCCCAAAATTACTCATCGCGAACGTGATGACCTAAATGCGAACACGAAGCTTACTTAGCTCAACCCTACGGGAACGCGAGACCAACATCGCGAACGCGTAGGCAGTAAAAGCATCAGAAAGATAGAAGAACTTAAGAACTGATTTTTGAAGTTGCATTGAAGAGATAGAATTACTTAAGATCCGATTTTTCTGAAGTTGGAAAGACAACTTCAAATCCAATTCTAAAGTTGCATTGAAGAGATAAAACTACTTAAGATTCGATTTTCTAAAGTTGCATTGGTAAAATAAAAGAACGTCATATTAGATTCTGAAATTGTATTGAAGAGATAAAAGAACTTCAGATCCCGATAAATAAATTTTGTAAATTTTTGTGCAATGCGGATATAACTTCAAACAGCGGCCCATAAAGTAGGTTTATGTGAAAAACTCCCCTTATACTCAAAGAAGTACAAAGAAGGCCTTCTTTTTGTAGCCCAACTATTAGAGAAGCCCAGGCCCAGAATTGGCTTTCCTTAGGTCCTGAAATCAAAGACGGAACAAATCCAAAATTCGTCCCGCCGGTTAAGAACACCAACCAGCCCTATAGTCCCTGCCAACATTTTTAGCTTCACGTCGATCGACTCCGCCGCCTGCTTCTACTTTCCCGGTGTACCGGAAATGGTATAGCATCTGACTTTATGCACTTTGCTTTCGTTTCGCACTATTGAAAACCTAGTTCGAATCCCCCCCCCAAATAGATATATTAAATACTAGTTGTTATCAGTTATAAATACATAGAATCGGTTATTTTATAGCATAGTATAATAACTCGAACTGTTGAGCATAATGATTGTTCATTTGTTGAATACTATAATTTCTCAATGTCGTGAAACTGGTACAGTAATACATAATACTTGTGTGAGAAGTAGAAACAGCCTTGATGAAGCTGTAATTTATACTTTTATACAATATTAAATATTTAAGACATATTGTACTTAAGTAATTGAAAGTGTGTTATCTCTAATTGCTTAAGCTTTTAGACAGAGGCGGATCTAGAATTTGAACTTTATGAGTTTTAGAATCTAGGACAACGACCTCAAGTCCTAGTAACTTGGTTTTGAATTTAATTTGTGTACATATTTAGTGAATCTTTTAACATATATACAAGGTACGAGCCAAAGCTATTGAGTTTGAACCCGTATATTCAAGCCTATATCCGCCCTTGCTTGAGATGGTCACACATTTTAATATAATATCCGAACGGGTAAAGGTCCTGGGTTCAAATCACACCACTACCCAAAAAGCAGAAAAATAAAAAAAGTGTTTGGCCCATAAAAAAGAATTGGGCCCGCACGTAAGGGGGCGCATAAAGACAATATAAATAAGTAATTAAATGTGTGCTCTATCTAATAGCTTAATCTTTTAGATGAGATAGTCACGTACTTCAATAGTAATGTATACCTTTAGGTTTCATAAGACCAACTTGGAGAATATGACTTCCATCTTTCATTGCGTACGAGAGGATCCAGCTTAAGGAGTTCGATGAAGTTTTGCTTAAACGAGAAATTGTTTCTTTGTGATACTAGGAGCTAGAACAAATAACCATCTAGTGCAATTTTTCTTCTAACTTGCTGGATCCACCATTCTTAAAGGCATAGTTAAGACTTGATTAGGCCCTAAAATTCTGTGTAGATTTGTTTTAGTGTAGGCACCAAGGCGCTAAGCTATAAGTCTCAGCACTCATGAGCTTTATCTTAAAGTGGGGAACATTACCCAAAAGGTATAACTAGTAAAGTGATATATCAATTATTATGAAAACATTATGGATGAACATACTAGTGATTAGGAACGGAAATTAGAAATTTGGTGTGACCAAATTAATCATTAAATCTAAGTTACAAACTTCGTCTTGATAAAATGGTTTTGAACTTGATACATAGTTTTATTGAATAAAAGAACCTTGACTGACATAGTTTTGATTTAGGCCTAATACACTTTTTTTATGACCGAGAGATCCGTTTGGAGCCAATCCTTTGGGCCAAACGTACCCTTCGGAACTCGGGAATGATGGGCCTGCCCCTCTATCCTCTGCCATTTAAATACTAAACTTAGGCCTAATACATAAAATGACATTCCGACTTGCATGCAGTGTCCTACATAGACTTGTGGCACATCTACTTGTTAAAATCCCATTCATCAACAACTTTGGCACTTGACTTATACGTATGTGACATGAAAGCGGCTGAGCTGGTTTAATGGCACGTGAATTAGGCGTTTAGGGAGTGAGGATGTGAACAAAAAAGCTCGCTTTATCTTCTTTCTTCCATTGCTCTCCTCTTTCTCCTCTCCCTCCTCTCCTTGTACACCTCTACCCACCCCCTCTCTCTAAGAAAATCTCTTTACCTTCTCCATTCTCCGTTTCTCTGTACAACGGTCACATTCAATCTCTACCCTACCTCCTCTCTCTAATTCATTCTCTTTTTATCGTACCGAACTTGGTCGTCGATGATAAGTTTCTGTCTCCTTGGAGGAAGAAGACACTTATGAAGTCACTAAGTATGGTGTTGAACACTTTTGGGGAAATAATGTCGATTGTCACAGTTTGTGGGCTTTGAGTCATCGTCATCGCAGCTGCAGTGGCCGGTGGCGGAGGCTGCAGCAGTGGGTGGTTTAGAGGGTGTGAAGTAACAGGAGGTTTCTTTATTTTGTAGGAATGTCTGTTTACTTTAGAGAAGTTAGGAGGAGGACCTTGTAGTTCTCTCCTCATTGGAGATAGCGTTCCGTCAATTGGGCTCGTGGGAAACCCTGTGGTGGCAAGTCTATTTGGTAGATGATTATTTGTGGATGTGTATGGTATAAGTGGGGTTTAAACAAGTAAATGCAGCTCCACTTGAAGATGCATGGATTTGAGTTTGAACTATGAAGTGAAGGTCAATAATAGTTCTATGTGATAAGTTATGTGTTATATGCGTCAACACAATTGAGGAACATGTGCTATTTTAAACCCTTGTCCCTCTTTCAAATGTGTTTATTATGTGGAATTTTAACAAGTTGTTGCTCTAAACTGAAACAAGTTTAAGTAGGGGACCAGTTTTGCAAATGTGTGCAAGTTGGAGTTTCATTTCATGTATTAGGCCTTTTACTTAATATATTTTCACTTAATTGTAGTTTTGTTTTTCCAACTTATCAAAATATTTTCCAAAATGTCCATATAGTTTATAGGGGATCAGTTTTGCAAATGGGTGCAAGTTGGAGTTTCATTTCATGTATCAGGCCTTTTACTTAATATATTTTCACTTAATTGTAGTTTTTTATTTTTTCCAACTTACCAAAATATAATCCAAAATGTTCATATAGTTATTTTTCTGGTTATAATTACTTGTCATTGCGATGTGTTTTCGTCATATAGTTATTTTTCTGGTTATAATTACTTGTCATTGCTGTGTAAGTTTTCATGTGTGTTTGCGCATACACACACACACACTCTCATATATACACACATAGTATATATTCCTTCATTTGTATATTCTTCATTATAGCGCACATTTTATATCTTGCCACTTCTCTAGGCTGTTTACCTTTTGACAATTATGCTGGAAGAAGATTCTCTAGAGGCGCTTTTGGTTCTCCAGACATAATCTTACACTATCCACCACTTATTTGATTCTCTTTCCTCCGGGGATTCCGGTCGTTGAATGTTATTGGATGCTTTTGATACTTAGATTGGAACTTTTCTGTCTAATTTGCTTTTGGAAAAGGGGGCAGTATGCTTATTTTACAAGGCATGTTTAATTGTTAATTCATTCCTCTGGTCACGAACCCATACCATTAACTTAACCTGAGGTGCATTAATCTCTGATTATCAATAAGCCTATTTACTCTGCAAAAGAGATGGGGACTGGTAAAGCACCAAATATGAGAACAATGCACTGGCTGGTCTCTAAATAAAACTGAGCTGAAGGCACTCTGCAATGTCTGAGGATTATGTGTTTGTTTCAATTCCACTGGTCCATTTTTTGAAACTTAAGCCCCTCTCATGTTAGCAGAAATTCCTTCCTCCTTTCATACCCTCAGTAATTTGGGTGCAATCATACCTTATAAGTTATTTTACTTGTTTATTTTTGTACTTGGTGCCCTCTCTGTCTCTTGCTAAGCAATTTTCGTTTTTCAGGTCATAAGCCTTTTGGAGTAACTATTAAAATAGAAAGAAGTTACACGAGGGATAAAAAGATTCTTTTGTTGAGAGTTATTTAGTCCATCCAGTCATGGACGAATACAAAAGAAATTTTCTCAAGCAACGCTCTAACCCCCAATTCAAGAGGAAGGGAGGCGCTAAAAATGCAAAGGGGAATTATGCTGGTCATGAACGGTCATCTGAAAGTTCTCGAAGTTCAGATACTACCTATTGTATACTTTGTCAATCCAAAAAAATTGGTAGTGTAATTGGAAAAGGTGGTAGCATAATCAAAGCCCTGAGAGAGGAAACTCAAGCAAAGATTAGGGTTGCTGACAGTGTGCCTGGTTCTGATGATAGACTAATAATTATCTCTAGTCCCTCTACAAAGCTAGCTAGGAGACAAAACACTGACAACAACAATGAAAATCCAGAATTAAAGGAAGAAAATGGTAGCATGGAGCCACATTGTGCTGCGCAAGATGCTCTGTTAAAAGTTCACAATAGGATTGTTGAAGAAGACTTGCATGAAGCACAAGATGAGGATAAGAATGAAATTGTAATCATCACGCGTCTACTTGTTCCAAACAATTTGGTTGGATGCCTTTTAGGAAGAAAAGGCGATGTTATTCAGAAATTACGAAGTGAGACTGGGGCAAGCATTCGTGTTCAATCTGCTGAGCATCTTCCAGCTTGTGCTATGACCACTGATGAATTGGTCCAAGTAAGTTTCATGTTCTTTTCTATGGGTGCACAACTTATTTAGTTTCTTTATTATTTTTAAGGTGAGTGAGCTTTGAAATGAGCTTTTGTTACTTGGAGAGTATGATAGTGCAGAGGAGAAAGGGGAAGAGTACCGTTAAACACTTAAACTAATTGTTCATCTGTACTGATCTTAGCTCTGCATGCAGCAGTTGCATTATATTCTTGCTCTGTCGTATGTTTGCCCTATGCTTATCTTCAAGCATCTACTAGTCCTGATTCCTTAGTCCTAGAATATCTTCTGCTTATCTTCAAGCATCTACTACTAGTCCTGATTCCTTAGTCCTAGAATGTCTTTTTATAATCCACCAATGTTTAGCTATTCAACGACTTGTAGGCTAGATCAGCTGTCGAGTAGCTAATGTTTATCTGACTGCTAGTTTCCTCATTTATCTTTTATCTTGAAAAACAAGGTGCCCCTTTGACAAGCTGAAAGTTTCTGTGCACTTAGTTAATGTCTACGCTCTAAATTTTGCAATTGGTAACCGTGCCAAATATTTTGTTTGTTTCTCTGTGTGTGTGTGTCTTTTTGGGTATCCATGCTATTTCTTGTATGAAACATCTATAGATGATTAGAGGATTTGTGATTTCGATTTTGTTAAGTCTCTTGGTTTTATGGTGGTAATTACCTTTTTTAGGATACAATCATGTCCCGTACTACTTTTTTTTAACAATGAGTATCTTATTTTAGTTATTTTTCTTGCTGATAATTTAGGAGTTACATATTAAGTGTCTCTTTTGGGCCATATCATGTCAAAAGAATTTTCAATATTGGTAGGGTTTTTCAGATATCAGGTAAACCTGCTTTGGTAAGAAAAGCCTTGTATGAAGTATCAACTCTGTTGCATCAGAATCCACGCAAAGAAAAACCTACCTCGAGTTTTCCCATGGTACATGGTGCTCAAGGTTTTCACCCCCCTGGTCCTCCCATGGAAAATATGATTCCTCCAGGAAAATCAATGTGGTCTCGAAGTAGATCTAATTTAAATGGTATGCCGCCTGTGTTAGGGATGGGAGGGTATAGGAACCAGCTTTCTGGATTTGGTCGTCCAGATTTTGATTATGATCCTCTCCCTTGTGCTGGTGAAGCTCCAAGTGATTTCACCATGAAAATTCTGTGTTCAGCTGCAAAAATTGGTGGCGTTATAGGCAAGGGGGGTTTCAATGTAAAACAACTGCAGCAGGAAACAGGAGCAAGTATACATGTTGAGGATGTCGTACCCGAATCTGATGAAAGAGTTATTCATGTCTCCTCTTTGGAGGTAATGTATCTCATTGAGGAATTCATAATATTAGCATCCTCATGAGCATGTCACCAAGCCATTTTTTTCCTTCCAGTCTCTGTGGGATCCCAGATCACAAACTATTGATGCCATACTTCAACTTCAAAGTAAAACAAGTGAATTTTCTGACAAAGGAATTATCACTACAAGGCTTCTTGTTCCCTCAAATAAGGTTGGATGCATTCTTGGTCAAGGAGGACAGGTTATCAATGAGATGAGGAGGAGGACACAGGCAGATATTCGTGTTATTTCCAAGGATGATAAACCCAGATGCGCATCTGCAGATGAAGAACTTGTGCAGGTGATTTATCTGTAGTCTGCAAGTTTAGACTAGTCACTTCCGGTTCACATATGCCCCACTTTCAGTTTTCTTGTGCATGTCGGTACTGTTGTTTCCACTATCTTGTGAGAAATTTCCATCTCAAAATAATTGAAGTTGTATTTATTCAGATATCTGGAAGCTTTGGTGTTGCAAAAGATGCCTTGGTTGAAATTGCTTCTAGGCTTAGAGCAAGATCCCTTAGGGATGTAAATAGCAAGGCGGAATCTGCTCCTGTTAGGCCACTTTCTGGATTTGGTCCTTCAGAGGATTTCCGAAGTGGAGATCCACAACGTTCAGGTGTGATGGAAGCTGGCAGCTCTAGAAGATATGATCATTTGAAGGTATGGAAGATCATCTAGAATGTTGCTTCTACTGGAGTTAATACCTTTATTTTTTTTAAATAACTGTGGCGCTTGGACCAATTCATACCTTCATTTCTGATTGTTTATATTTGGTGTTAGGAAAAGTGCGATATGTTTGTTGTAACCTCTTTACTAGGATCATTTACAATAGGAGAACACAAAGTCGTAACAACATTGCACTACCATATTACCTGCAGAATGCATCATCTAATTCATTTAAAGGGTGGAGATGTTGTGGTGGTATGAGGCACCAATCCCGGACTCAAAATGAATTTACTGGAATTGTACAATAGACATGCCTATGTAGGGAAGCTTCTTAAATATTCTTATGCCTCATTTCTGTCCCATTCTTATAAAGGAATAGATTACAACTATTGGTGTCTATTAGGGGCATCATTGATGGTAAAGTTGAATATCCTCTGTACACTAGTTCACACAATATGGTGGGGTGTGGGGTTAGACCGTATGGATCTCAATTTGGCAAAGCGTGAGATATGTGGGAGTTGGGGCAGACAGGTGACCATGGATGACCATGCTGCTAAAATGATTTTGTTACCCTACCCCCACCTCAGGGGAAAAAATGGAAAATGTAAAAAAGGCCTTTTGGCTGCTGTCTGTTATATATGAGTCCTGCACTTGCCAATGTGAGTCTACCAAAGGCTCGCATTAATTTGATAAATCTAGCTAAAAGGCACAGTAAGTGGGTCTAGATACTTGTTGTTCATCATTGGTCTGACAGTTTAGTCAAATAGTTGGAGAAGTCGGGTGTCAACTATAATCAGTCATATCTATCAGTGATCTGTTTTTGGAAAACATAAGAAGAAAGTTCTTACAACTATGTGTTAGGGCTGTTCAAACTTTAGGGTGGTTTGTTTTCTTCTATTTGCACCTTTGAGAGCACTCCAAGTGGCAAAGTTATAGTGCAAAGATGAGATACATTGCATTGTGCTACAATTACTTTGTACAGTAAGAAGAGGTTACTAAATAATTTTTCTTGTTAAATAAGTCATTCTACCACCTTTTTAGTGATACTAGAATAACAAGAAGATTGTGATAGAGTACTTTGGTAATTTTTTCTCTCTAAATTATGCACCTAAGCCTCATTAAGCCTCAGTACCAAACAAGTTGGAGTCGGCTATGTGAATCCTCACTTCTTCATTTAAGCTCAACCAATGTCATAATCATATCATACCAAATAAAATAAAAGTGAAATATATATATATATATATATATATATATATATTATCGTAGTAATAATAATAATAATATTAGTAGTTCTCTAACAAGTCTAAAACTTATTCCCAACTAGTAGATATCATGCATATGAATCTTTTTCTTCTATTGTGTCTTATCTTTAGCTAAGCTTGCATTGATTCCAAGGATTTGTAGGTCTTTCTAAGACAACTTCCTTCTATGTGATTTTAGGCCTACTGGAGCTTTAAGTACAAAAACAACAACTAAGCCACAGTACCAAATAAGTTGGGGTTGGCTATGTGAATCCTCACTTCTTTCATTTAAGCTCAATTAATGTCATCATCATATCATATCAAATAAAATAAAAGTGAAAAATAAGTTTTACCTATTTTAGTAGATATCACGCATATGAATCTTTTTGCTTCTATTGTGTCTTATCTTTAGCTAAGCTTGCATTGATTCCAAGGATTTGTAGGTCTTTCTAAGACAACTTCCTTCTATGTGATTTTAGGCCTATCCCGTTCCCTTTATAACACCTTCACTCACCATAGTTTCACACCTACGGACTGTGTATATGCAGGTTGATGCAGTACATGACCAAACCATCTCAAGCGACCTTCTGCCATTTTATCCTCAATGCGTGTAGTCATTTCTAAATTTGTCTAATCTTTTTTTATCGCACTTCCATCTTTGCATCCGCATCTCTACAACACTCATCTTGTGGATATGTTGGACTTTGGTGGTCGGGTATTCATTACCATATAGCATTGCGGGTCTTGTAGCTCTTCGGTAGAGTTTATCTTTCACTTTGGTAGGCATCCTTTTATCACATAACAACCCAGTATACTTATCCATTGCAACCATCCGATTCTAATCCTATGAGTAACATCTTCATCTACCATTCCATTCTCCGGAAACAACGAGCCTAGATGTTTAAATCGTTTTCATTTTTTCACCACAATCTCTAGTCTCACCTCAACTTCGCTCTTCTTATGCTTGCTAAACTTGTAGTACATGTATTTAGTCGTACTTCTTCTTATCCTAAAACCCTTACTCTCGAGGTTGCTTTTGCATAGTTCAAGCTTTTGGTTGACAACCTCGTAGTTTTGTCAATTAACACAATATCATCAACAAATAACATACACCATCAAATAACATACACCATGAGATTTATATTGTATTATGTTGGTTTGCTCATCCTTAACTAGGGTAAACTAGTAGGGGCTGAATGCCGATCCCTGGTGTAGACCCACTATTATGAAAAACTCCTCAGTATCTCCTACTAATGTTTTCAGGCTAGTGGCGGCTCTGTCCATTATGACAACTCCCTCCGTTTCAATTGAGATGACACACTTTCTTTATTAGTCCGTTCCAAAAAGAATGGCAAATTTCTATATTTAGAAACAATTTAACGTTAAACTTTTCATTATACCTTCTTTACCCTTAATGAGAATCTTTTATAGCCACACAAATATCATGACCCCACTAAGGTTTTGCCCCTTAAGCTTTTAGCACCACATGTTTCAAAAGTTTCTTTTATTTCTTAAATTTTGTGCGAAGTCAAACTACCTTATCTAAATTGAAACAGAGGGAGTATGTAATATGAATTCCATCACTCACCAAAGGGCCTTTTGTGGTACTCTATCATATACTTTCTCGAGGTCAATGAACAAATGTGTAGATCTTTCTTCCGTTCGCGAGAAATTTCCATCAATCTTTCTAGCAAGAATGTAGCCTCCGTTTTAGATCTAAAGGACATAAATCCAAATTGGTCGTCTGTCACTCTTGTCTTGTTCTTAAGTCTACGTTCTATCACTTTTTCTCCCAGATTTTCATCGTATGATTGGGTATCTCCTTTGTTCTTATAGATTGGAATCATGATACTCTTCTTCCACTCATCGGGCATCCTACCATTTTTTAGTATAGCATTGGATAGCTTGGTGAACCATTCTAATCCAAAGTCCAAGCTCTCCAAGACACATTGCAACTCTATAGGGATAGTGTCTGGACCACAAGCTTTTCTAATCCTCATATTTTTCATAGCATCATTTACCTCTGTCGACCTAATTTTACGAGTGTAGCTAAAGTTTTTACCGTGCGCAGACGTGTGGAGCTTTAAGTACAAACGGCAACTAAAACACGAGCTTCAATGAAGAAAGGAGCTGATGAAGGAAAATAAGAAAAAATACATGTAATGCTAGAAAAGAAGGACAAAGTACGAACAACAATTTTATGGACCAAAGAATTTAAAACAACGACCATCACAACTACTATGTCTCAATGTTAGACTAGTTGGGTTGGTTATATGAATCCTCTATATTTATTTTGCTGTATTTGAGTCCCTTTCATTTCAGTGCTTAATATTTTGTCTTTTAGGAGAAATTTATTGTAACTGGGAGTGAACCAAATAATTGAAAAACTGCACTTTGATTAGAATATTTGGCGTGAAAATCATGCTAATCAAATTCAAAAATTGTTTTAAATTTCTGATTCATATGCAAGTTTCTTGTTCAGAATAATGACTAGTTTTTTTCTTACTATATTCTATTTTCTTATTCTTCATTATTAACATATTCATCCATGAAATTCCATTAATGAATTAGTATATCGTGTTGTCATCTATGTCAAATGTAGTGTTAGACAAAGCCTATAGTAGTTGTGTTCCGCACGCTGCATAAATGAAAGTGACAATTGGGCGAGTGAGGCCCCTGGCCTGCACTGAGCTGAACTCTAGGAGTTTAAGCATGCCTAAACAAGCCTTTAGCAGCATTGTTCTTTTCTAGCTTGTAGTTGGATGAGGCATAAAACATTAGTGAAGATTCCTTTCGCTAGTTTATGAGGCTATATAGGTGGTTTTCAAGATGGGTGTCTTGTTCCGTCAATTCTTACCATTTCAGTATTATGGATGAAAGATTGTACTCTCTCTGGCTGCAAGATTTCAAGTTAAATGTCTTGTTTGACCTTTTCAAAGTTTCTAAAGATATGAATAGTGATTATCTATTGAGTTTGGAGACTAAAATTGGGCAATGTCTAATGTAAAAAGGGAAGAGAATACGAATTAACAATATTTTATGGAATCAACTCTTGTCACTACAAGAGGAGCTGCTTAAATTAGGAGCAATAATCTATAAAACAAGTAATTATTTTCTAATAATGAAGAAAATAAATTTGAGTTTGCTTATTTTGGAAACAAAGAAAGTAGCCTGCAAAATCATGCTAAAAAGCTATTTCCAAGACAATTGCTGGAAAAATGCATATTGCCACTAGAATTGATTTCGGAAAGAGAGTGGCACCGCACCCAAGAAGAGAGGAAAGGTGCTAGTTGCTAAAGAGGAGGTGTTGGACGCTTGAGAAAGGAGGTGACTGTTGCTGTAAAGAGGACGTGGCAGTCACTAGAAATAAAGAAATAAAGAAAAGAAAACACCGACCAGGTCACCAGGCAGGCGGAAGGCCTTCCACCTGTAGAGAAAGCTATTTGAGTTTCTAGAAAAATCGTAGAGGCTCTGATACCATGTAAAAGACGTAGAGAAACTGAGAAGAGAATACTTCTTATTGAAGTGAATCTGGGTACTACAAGGGGAGCTCCTTAAGTAAAATAAGATCAGTGATTATTCTATGCAAACTATAAAAAGTAGTAATGAATGTAAATATTCATAGTTTTGCTTTTTGCGATTTTGTTGATGTGAAGCACACCGTCACTACTGAAACAGATCGAACTATTCAGAAAACATCTGTTGCTTTTGCTTTTAGGGTGTTGAAAACTTTTTTGTATTTTGACCAAAACTAATAGCCTTATAAGGAAGGTGGTGAATTGATTGTAATTTCCCCTTGAACATATATTTGGATGTTGAATGAGTGACTTGTCACACTATTCTGGGTTATGGAAACCATTTGCTGCCATGGTCTTTTCAGTTGGACCAGTTGACTAAAGAAGTGTCACATTCTCTCTGTAGGGTGCTGTTCGTGAATATGACCATCCGAGTTATCCAGATCTTCCCATTGCTACTAGGTACTACCAGTACCCATTGCTGAATGCGTTCATTTTTCCTTGCTTTTTCTGTTGTAGTTCATCTGATCACCATTGTGAACTCTAGATACCCAAGTATCAGTAGTCCTCTGGAGGTGAAGTTTCCAGACCATTCTTTTGGCTCTGCAAAAAGAACAGGAGGGTACAACATTAATGAGGTAAATTACTCTGCCTAGAGCTACAAAGAGGTGGTTTTGTGAGTTATTCTTTTTGTCTCGTTCTATCCATTTTATTTCCAACTAGATAGAAGACTCTTACCTTGTGTTATTCCCTCCATTGGAGTTTTAATAGACCTATTGAGTGAATTGCTCGATATTTTTGCTCTGATTCCACCTTTTCCTTTTTGCGATACAGAATTATAAATCTCTCATGTTCTCCATTTTTATGTTATAATATATTTGGGACATGCTAGAGATAAATAGAAAAAAATCACACGTCTTTTACATGTATTTTCATATTCCAGCCTTGATTCTTTAAAATGTTGTATGTCATATGTGTTTGATTTATCTTATGGTAAATTAATTTCTAAATAGTGTAGTTCTTTTTTTCTTTATTGTTGTCTTTTTGTATTCTGCTATATGTATTATGATCTTTACATATGCGTAACAGTTGTTTGTAATGATATTCCTGTTAGTGATAATTATATTTTGATTCATGGTGTTATGTTAGAAAGCCTTATCCTCTCTCCATATCAATTTATGTGATACACTTTTCTTATTAGTCCGTTCCAAAAAGCATGACACATTTTTATATTTGGAAACAAGTTAACTTTATACTTTCCATTTTACCCTTAATTACAACAACAAAAAAAAATCAGTGTTGTCAAAGGCGCGCTTAAAGCGCGCTTAAGCCCTGAAGCGAGGCTCAAAACACGTTGAGCGCTTCGCCTCGCTTTGTGGGCGCTTTAGTGTCACATCAAATCTCTAAGGCATAATTTTCCTTGCCGATGAGTGTAATCCTGAAAAGGCGACCTTAAACAATTGGTATTTCACTTTATCGTGAATTTTTTTTCAATTTCTTTTTCCATATATTTGTTATTCATGCTTATAATGATTAGTCATGGACTACATGCATATTTTTACTTTTTTCTCCTGTTGCGCCTTTTTTCATTAAAGCTCACGCTTTATTTGCGCTTTGCACTTAAAGCCCCAACGGACCTTAGAGCGTTTTTGCGCTTTTCGCCTTTGATAACACTGCAACAAACCCAGTGTAATCCTACAAGTGGGGTCTGGGGAGGGTAGTGTGTAAGCAGACCTTACCCCTACCTTTGTGAAAGTAGAGAGGTTGTTTCTGATAGACCCTTGGCTAAAGAAACACTAAACAAGAAGCGACCAGCAGTAACAACACAAAGAAAAAAACAAAGACACTATGTGTACCAAAGATCTAAAAATAAGAAATACAAGAATACTACTAACAATACTGGTAAGAATGACACAATATGGAATAACAAAGATCAAGGAACACAAAAATGTAAGAATAATACTAATACTGCAGGTATGATTAGGAGAAACTCTCGACTACTTATCAACCTACAATCCTTATTTTCGACCTCCACACCTTCCTATCGAGGGTCATGTCCTCGGTAAGCTGAAGCAATGACATGTCCTGCCTAATCACCTCTCCCCAATACTTTTTTGGCCTACCTCTACCCTTCCTCAAACCCGCCATGGTCAACTTCTCACACCTCCTAACCGGGGCATCAATGCCTCTCCTCATCACGTGCCCGAACCATCTCAGCCTCGATTCCCGCAATTTCTCTTCCACGAGGGCCACTCCTACCTTGTCCCTAATAACTTCATTCCTAATCTTATCTTTCCCGGTATGCCCATACATCCACCTCAACATCCTCATTTCGGTTACTCATCTTCTGGACATGGAATTTCTTGACTGGCCAACACTCCGCACCATACAACATAGTCGGTCTAACTACCGCTCTGTTGAACTTGCCCTTAAGTCTTGGTGGCACATTCTTATCACATAAAATCTCTCTCGGGAATGACTTGTGTATCAAGCTTCATGTCCACTTCTGCCTCATGCGTCCCCTCACTGAACTTGCACTCCAAGTATTCTGTTTTTGTCCTACTCAACTTAAAACCTTTAGACTCCAAGGTATGTCTCCAAACCTCTAACCTAGCGTTAACTCCATAGCGTGTCTCGTCAATCAGCACTATATCATATGCAAATAACATACACCATGACACGTCCCCTTGGATTTGTTGCGTCAACACATCCATCGCCAGAGCAAATAAAAATGGACTAAGAGCCGATCCCTGATGTAATCCCATCAACACTGGGAAGTGTTTTGAGTCTCCTCCCACAGTCCTTACCCGAGTTTTAGCACCATCGTACATATATCTAATCACCCTAGTGTATGCTACTGGGATGCCACTAACCAAACATCTCCATAAGACCACCCACGGAACTTTGTCGTAGGCTTTCTCTAGGTCAATTAACACCATATGTAAGTCTTTCTTCCTCTCCCTATACTGCTCCACTAGTCTCCTCACAAGATGAATGGCTTCTGTGGTCGACCGTCCCAGCATGAATCCGAACTGGTTCTCAGAAATAGACACACTTCTTCTCGCCCTCCTCTCCGCCTCCCACTCCCAAACTTTCATAGTGTGACTCAACAACTTGATACCCCTATAGTTGTTGCAATTTCCCCTTTATTCTTGTACACCGGTACTATCGAGCTCCACCTCCATTCATCGGGCATCTTCTGCGTCCTAAAAATGACATTAAACAATCCAGTAAGCCACTCCAAACCCGCTTCTTTCCAAAATTCTACCGGAATCTCGTCCGGCCCAGTTGCTTTACCCCTACTCATCTTCTGCATCACCCACTCAACCTCCTCCACCTTAAAGTGCCTGCAAAAACCATAATCTCGTTGGCTCTATGAGTTCTCCAACTCACCAAGTACGATGTTCCTGTCACTATCCTCGTTCAAGAGTTTATGAAAATATGTCTGCCACCTAAGCCTAATATACGCCTCATCCAACATATTTTATCATTAATTAGAAGTTTTTTATAGCCACACAAACTGAAAGCCCCACAAAAGCTTTTATCCTTAAGCTTTTAAAACCACAAATTTCAAAAGTTTTTCCTTTTTTTCTTAAACTCCGTACTGAGTCAAACGCATCACACAAATTGAAATGAGGGAGTAACTATTACTCATAAGAGATACTCCCTCCGTCCCAATTTATTTCGGACTCTTTCTTTTTTAGTCGATCTCAAAAGGAATGTCATACTTATTTAGAAACAATTTAATTTTATTTCATTTTACCCTTAATGAGATGATTTACAGCCATATAGATTTCTATTGCTTGTTTAGACCACAAGTTTAAAAAGTTCTCTTTTCTTTCTTAAACTCCGTGCCTAATCAAACACCGCCACATAAATTGGGACAGATAGAGTAACATATTTGTTGTACAACAACAACAACAACAAAGACAGTGTAATCCCATATATGGGGTTTGGGGAGGGTAGTGTGTAAGTAGACCTTACCCCTACGTTATAAAGATACAATGCACAAACCAGACCAAGCTTTATCTTAACCCTTTTTGCATGCCTAAATGAGTTGGATATGAGAAGATAATTTTGATGATTAGTTTGAACTTTGAACAAAATTGATGTAACCCTTCGTGTTTTTGGCTAGTGAAGGGGGCAAGCTAGCTACTACTAATATTGTCATGATTTTCCCAGAACATTTCCACTAGTGTTTGTAGTTTTTTGCTAGACTTGGTATTTTGAGCATTCTAATAGTGTTTGGCCAAGTATTTATTTGGGCCAAAAGTGCTTTTGGCCAAAAATTGAGGTGTTTGGCTTAGCTTTTAGAAGGAAAAAAGTGCTTTTGAGGAGAAGCAGAATTTCAAAAGCACTTTTCTGAGAAGCACTTTTGAGAAAAACACTTTGAAGCAGTTTTCAAAAGTTTAGCCAGATTACTGCTCAAAAGTGCCTTTTAAATTAATTAGCCAAACACAAACTGCTTCTCACCAAAAGAACTTTTTTGAAAAGTACTTTTGAGAAAAACACTTCTCAAAATAAGTTGATTTTAGAAGTTTGGTCAAACATGCTATAAGTGATGCTCTTATAGTTGTATAATGACTTTAGTCTTTTGTTTTAATATATTATACTCTAATCATTAATTACCAAAAGTAAAACCTCTTTCTGATTTTGCTATCCATTATGTAATCAACTGTATTACTAAATTTTACATAGTTAATTGTAATATTCTCTTCCCTATACAAATATTGTTTGGTCTAGACTATAATTTTGTAGAAGCAGTTGTTTGCGACTATTACGTACCTGATACAGTCATTACACTCTTAGGATGCTCAGATTACCAAGTCTTAGCCAAAATATTGCAAACATTAGACGAAACACTTCTAGGAAAACTTGTTCCTGCTTTATTTGCCATTAACGAAGCAATAACAAAATAAAGTGGAACTAGTTCATGACAATGTTAATATTAGCTAGCTTGGCCTCTTCACTGGCTAAAAACACGAAGGATTGCATCAATTCTTTTCAAACTAATCATCTTAATTATCTTCTCATGCATCTAGAGATGATCTAATTATCGTTGTTTCAACATATGCTATACACTAAGCACAAGTTATGTTCACGTCTCTAATGCCATGAACAAGAACTTTGGGAAGTAAACGATTTCGACCTCTAGAATTGCGAAGCCGAGTTTGAGGTACTTTGTGTAAATTGCTTGGACCAAGCATCCTGCTAAGAGCTTCTCGACATATCATCCATGTGGCTATACCATATGGTCGGTTCAGTAATCTCTGCAACACCTTGGCTCATTTTATGTAGTTACCCAACAACAACAACAACAACAACGACGCAGTGAAATTCCACGAGTGGGATTTGGGGAGGGTAGTGTGTACGCAGACCTTATCCCTACCCCGAGGGGTAGAGAGGCTGTTTCTGATAGACCCTCGGCTCAAGAAGACGAAAAGATGACGAAAAGAGATAATCTATCAGTACCATCAATAAAACTATAGAAAACATAACAGCATCACAAGAACCAGAAAATAGATGAAAAGCAAAACAATAACCAGTAGATAAAGTCCGCCACTAAGAGAAACGAAAGAGTGGTGTGAACTCAACATTAACCACTAGCAGTCTAAGACTAAATCTTAACAGGCTAGCC